TACCCAGAGTAATATAAAGCATTCTGTCATAAAGACACATGCATGCAAATGCTCACCGTAGCACTATTTACTATATCACAACAGCAAAGATATGGAACTAAATGTCCATAAATGACAGATTGGATAAAGAAAATGTGGTACATATACCATGGAATACTATGCCACCATAAAAAAGAACGAGATCATGTCTTTTGCAGGAATGTGGATAGAACTGGAGGCTATTATCTTTAGCAAACTAACACAGGAAGAGAAAACTAAATACTGCATGTTCTCACTTACAAGTGTAAGCTAAATAATGAGAACACATGGATACACTGAAGGGAACAACAGACACTAGGGTCTTGAGCGTGGAGGGTGGGAGGAGGGAAAGGAGCAGAAAAGGTAACTGTTGGCTATTGGGCTTAATACCTGAGTGATGAAATAGTCTGTAAAACAAACCTCTGTGACACGAGTTTACCTACATAACAAACCTACATGTGTACCCCTGAACCTAAAATAAAAGTCTAAAAGAAAAGTAATGCTTGGATCCAATTCAGTGGCGTATCTTACATGTAATTTTAAAATCCAAATTAAGATTCCATCCTGGTATCCATATAAAGAGGTCTATGTCCTGTGAATGAAATAAGATCTCTATGTAAGGAATGCCAAAGTAGAATCACAGTCCTGTAGATTTCGCAGATGAGAATCCATACTAACCACATAGGTGGTCATGACGGGCAGTGACTCATTTTGAAACCCTCCACTAGCCTGTTATCTTCTGTAGCCACTCAATAAAGGACTTCTGAAAATGATTCTAAACTTTAATCATCTGTATGACTGTAAATGAAGCTTACTAAAAGCCACCAATAAGGTGGAGGGAAATAATTAACTAAAGATTTTGTTTTGCACAAATGGACTATTTAAAGAGGAAAAAATATAACTTAATGGAAGAAAACATCTACAAAAGTTTGAGATGTGGGATTTGGGTCCAGAGTTCCAAAAAATTACCACAACATAAATTAGTAAACACACCTAGCCCAGCCCTGAAGAAACATCTTGTTTTCTGTCATTAGTCCACTTTCATTTTCTTCAGTGTTCAGTATTCTTGGCATTACCCCCACCCTTTGTTTCAAACTCTTGATTTTCTTTTGATTTTTTACAAAGTTATTTTTTGTATCTTCTTCGCTTTCAGGAAACACTGCCTAAGTTTATGGCAACATATAAATTTAAGATAATTTTTACCCTGCAAATTCAACTCACTTTCTGCATATAACCCTGGAACCTATATCTGATTCCCTGGCACTCTCCATAAATCATATTCACAATTTCAAAATTCAATTTGACATTTCACACATAAAATGCAGACTTGTGTATCACGTGCATTCTGAAATTCTGATGACTGCTATCTATTTGAAATTTTTTTTTAATTTAAGTGGAAATAGGTCACCTTTAAACTGATATTGCCAAACCACAGGCCACCACTGACCATGTGCTTGAACATCACTTCTACTGAAATTCTCTTGACATGATTGTCATGTTGAAAGGAGACCCTGCCACTGGTCTGATTACTGCTGTTAGTGCCTCAGCCCAAAGCAGAATGATAAAAGGTTTTGAATCCTATGTTTAAAACTAATGTCAAAGCTGGGCACAGTGACTCACGCCTGTAATCTCGGCACTTTGGGAGGCCAAGGTGGGCGGATTACCTGAGGTTAGGAGTTCGAGACCAGCCTGAGCAACATGGCGAAATCCCATTTCTACTAAAAATACCAAAAAATTAGCCTGGAGTGGTGGCACATGCCTGTAATCCCAGCTACTTGGGAGGCTGAGGTGGGAGAATCACTTGAACTCAGGAGGCAGAAGTTGCAGTGAGCTGAGATAGCACCACTGCACTCCAGCCTCAGCAACAAGAGTGAAACTCTGTCTCAAAAAAAAAACGAAAACAAAACAGAACAAAAAAACCACGATGTCAAATATTCACAAGAACTATATGAAATAAATAATGCCAAAACACCTCTTCCCTGAGGCCAATAAAGCTTGAAAGTTTGAATTTTCATATTTCTATACAGAAAATTAAATTATTTTCAGAATCAGCAGCACTCTACTATCTAAGACCAAACCTGGAAATTACATAGTTTCAAGATTTGAAAATTGTTTTGGACAGCTGTAGAATCCTACCCAGCAGAGATAAGGGGATACGATAATCACCAGGGAAAGAAATGGTAAAAAATGTGTCATATTATAAACTGCACTGGATTAGAGGTTCAAATATCAAAGGCCATAAATGAAAGAGGAATCAAAAAAAAGATCCACCTTGGACCAGAACTAATCCTTTAGGACTAAGAATTAATGCCTTTTCTAATCTCTTACTGAAGAGTAATTGGGTGTTAACGTTAAAACCTACGGGACCACACCATTGTCCATAATCTTGTGTAGCAAACTATGCACCATTTTTTAACAAGTTAAAAATAAATGTATGTTGGCCAGGCGTCATAGCTTATGCCTGTAAACCCAGCACTTTGGGAGGCCAAGGCGGGCAGATCACCTGAAGTCAGAAGTTCAAGACCAGCCTGGCCAACAAGGTGAAACTCCGTTTCTACTAAAAATACAAAAAAATTAGCCGAGCAGGGTGGCGCATGCCTGTAATCCCAGCTACTTGGGAGGCTGAGGGATGAGAATTGCTTAAACACACGAAGGGGAGGTTGCAGTGAGCCAAGATGGCACCACTGCACTCCAGCCTGGGCAACAGGATGAGACTCCACCTTAAAAAATAAAAAAAAAATGTATGTCCTAAGTTTAAAGGGAGCTTGGGAGTGATGGGGAGGAAACAGTAGGTCAAAATCAATAATGAAGGGGAATTAAGGGCAAATCTTTTACAGAAGAAAACTACAGAGGCACTGCTACCCCCGAGGAGGTGGGGAATGGTGATGCTATCCCTTCCTGGCATCATCACAGTACTCGTGTCAGAGGCCATGAAATGTATAGCATCCTCAGTTCAGAAATTATGAATCCTCTTTACACTGATTCTTCCTTATAAATCCCAGCCCTGTCTTTAAAGGCTTTTCTTGTGATTAAACTAAAACAAAATTTTGCTGAAAAACAAATTAGAAAATCCAGTGTGATCTACGTGCCAAAGTGAAAGTGTACATGTTTTACGTCTCATTCATTTTCTTTATTTTATAATTAACTGCCTAAATGGCTAGAGAAGCTCTGGCTTCATTACACAATCTGGAAACAGCAAGAACATCTTTCCAAAGATGTAGCTGTCAAATTATCCCTCTAATAATGTATTGTTTTCTAATGCCAGTGTAGAAATGCCAAGGCACTCTGACAGATAACTGTTTCAAAATCCTTTTAAATAGCATGAAATATCGGTTTTGCAACCAGCTGGCAACTAGAAGGGCAGAGGCAGCAGGAAAAGGGGAAGACAGTAATGGAGATGTTCATAATTCTGGGACTCCTTTCTGACACTGGTATATTAATGCTGGCACAGGGGTTCCGAGCATTTGTGGAACAGCCATTAGGCTGAATATTTTTTTCCAAAAGAAAAAAAAAAAACAAAAAAGCCCTCCATTTCTGTGTAGATTAGGAATTCCACATGTTGGAATATGAGAAAAAACATACATCAGAAATAAGGAGAGAAGATCATCTAAAAGTGTGTTATCAAATAGTTATTTGCTAACTGTGGAAAGAAATTTCTAAATTTCACCTCATTGGGAAAAGCAAAAGAAGTTCTCTGTAACCTGACGTGTCTACGTGGGTCTTAACACCTTAGTCTAAAACCATATGGTAGCTACTGGCCACCTGTGGCTATTGGGCATCAGTCCAAATTCATATGTGCTATATGTTGCAAAACATACACTGGATTCAAAGACTTTGTATTAAAAAAAAGAATGTAAAATATCATCAATATTATCAAAATTAATTTAACTTATTCTTTTTACTTTTCTTTTCTTTTTTTTTTTTTTTTTTTGAGACGGAGTCTCACTCTGTCGCCCAGGCTGGAGTGCAGTGGCCGGATCTCAGCTCACTGCAAGCTCCGCCTCCTGGGTTCACGCCATTCTCCTGCCTCAGCCTCCCGAGTAGCTGGGACTACAGACGCCCGCCACCACACCTGGCTAGTTTTTTTTTTTTTGTATTTTTTTAGTAGAGACGGGGTTTCACCGTGTTAGCCAGGACGGTCTGGATCTCCTGACCTCGTGATCCGCCCGTCTCAGCCTCCCAAAGTGCTAGGATTACAGGCTTGAGCCACTGCACCCGGCCTCTTTTTACTTTTCTTAAGGTGGCTATACTAGAAAATTTAAGATTAAATTTGTCCCTTATTGTGGCTCTCATTATATTTCTATTGTACAACACTGAAATACAAAATAAATCGCCCTGGATTAAATTACCTTTACAATCTCTTCTAGCTGCAGTGTTCTGAGACTAAAAAACTGCAGGCTCAAGCTAAGTCTTAAGTAAAAATGTTATTTTAGAGAAACCTAGCTTTTGTCACTATTTCATTCTTTCTCCACACTTTTTAATGCAGAAAATAACGATAAAATTGCCATTTGGTCATATTCCTTTTTGCTTCACACTCTCCTGATGTCTGTCCATTTTTAATGATCTGTAATGAGTAATAAACTCTGCAGGTTTTTTTCAGTCTTAATATCTATAAATTAGGAGTCAAGGTATTAGAACGCTTTAGAAGTCTTATACTCCAGTGGTCTCTAAACATGCTGGCACCTCTGAATCACCTGGGGAACATTTGAAAAAGACTGATTCCTCGGCTTGATATCTGGACATTCTGACTTAGTAGGTCAAAATGAGGCCCCAGATCCTGTACTTCTCAAGAAACATCCCAGGTCACTCTGAGGCTTGAAGTTTGGAAACCACTGGTCTAGCCCAACTTTATCGGTAACTAGGATAAGATGAACTGTCCCAGGGCTAAAGCCCAGCGACCTCAGACCTGGAGCTAGGACGCAGGGCTCCTAACTCTAGCTCACCACCATTGTTGAAAAACGTTCTGTCAAACACACACATACTCCTCCAGAGCTCCAGCCATCAGTATATCCTCTTTGTCAGTTTTAACATCCAACTCTGGTTCTCCATTAAGCAGAAGCTTCAAGTTATAAATAACCAGCAAAGTACCTGGTAGAAAAATAGATGTTTGGCTTGTCAGTATTTTAAATACACTAAGTGCTAGTCATTGTGCTATCATCTCATCTATGGAACTGAATCTGTTATAAAATTTTCTTTTGTACTTCAGGAAATAGTATGTTTGGCTAAGTCTTTGGCTAAACCAAGATATGTCTTATAGCAAGTTCCACTCCCTGCCAAAGAGTGCTGAGTTTCTACAGTATGGTGCCTCTTATTACTATTCAATTCATTACAAGTCTTTCAATGTGGATTTTTAAACTTTGGCACTTTTTTCATAATTTGCATTATGAAATTTGTTAAGAGCATGAGCCAAGCTTGTGTTATAGGTAAAGCTCTCATTGGTAGTACTAAATTTAACACATATAAAAACAAAGAAGGGTTTTTAAATATTGTACAAATAAGAAGTATTGTTTTCATACACTATAGCAGGTGTTAGTAAATTTTTTCCGCAAAGGGCCAGACAGTAAATATTTCAGGCTTTGCAGGCCATACGGTCTCTGTTGCAACTATTCACAATGTAGCTCTGCCATTGAAGCATGAAAACAGCAACGGATAATACATAAATGAATGAGTGTGGTTGCGTTCCAATAAAACTTGATTTACAAGAACAGGTAGGGGGCCACATTTGACCCGAGACCATAATTTGCTGACCCCTGCTCCAAGGCACGGTTCACAGAAAAAGTCCAAATTATTTCCAGTTGATTATGATACAAAGTCAAACAGGATCATCAGAGAAATTAAGAGGACAACTAACTATACTTTTTGGTAGTTTTAAACACAAGGGAGAATAGCATAGGAGCTAAGAACATGGGCTTTCAAGCCTAAATGTCTGTGTCTAAATCCTGGATCAACTGTGTCAGTAGACACAGTGCATTCGACATGTTGAACAGAAAGTTGGTGGAAGTGGAAAGAATGAGGGAAAAGATCCGTTAATCTGGAGAAGAATGTCTGCAATGCTTTTGCTAACTCTTTGCCACAGAGACATGAATTCATTACTTCCTAAGTTGCTAACTCTCTTACATACCTGTTACCACCTATCTCAAACGATGCAATAAGTGTCTCCTAACTTTGCTATCTAGTGCAGAGACTGTGGAGTCCCTGTGGTCATAGCCTGTATCATCCTCTTCTCATCCAGTTTCACCAAGTTCATGCAAGTACACATCCTTCTCCCAGGGTCAGGGATTTACAATAATTTATGTTTGGATGTTCTTAAGACAAAGCTCACATGGATAAAATAAATGACTGTCCCCAGTGTGAATCCACATGAGATTATAAGAACAAAAAAAAAGAAAACGTATGTACAGTGTCTTTGATAAGACACTGAAAACAAATACTTCCCTCAAATTGTCAGAGTTTTGATGATCTTACCACATTTTCCATAGATCACATCAAACTGCTGCATCAATTCTGCTTCAGTTTTAAATGGTGAGTATTTGTAAATTATAGATAATTCCATTGCAAATTTCTGGGGATCATCTGTGACAGATTCTCTGGTTCTTATTAACCATGAGGGCATTGGAACTACAACCTATTTAAAAAAAAACACATCAATTTATTATAAAATACACAAAAAACATTATTCTTTTGTCTTATCTATTTCATTCCACTCTTCATCTAGACAAATTACAAAACACTTGAGTTAAAAGTTCATTTTCCTCCTATAATCTAGTCGTATAAGAGACACATAACAAATGTGTATAGATAGGATTGTATTTTAAAATACTCCATTGTGGAATATGGGAACAGATGGAGTGTACTTCAACTCCCTCTTGAAGGGTAGAATGGCAGAGGAAACAACAGAATCAGCATTTTAAAAGTTGAAAAGCAGATGACAGCACACACAAGAAAAGCAATCTAAAACCCAAGCCAGAAAGAAGAGCCAGCCTGATTTGCAATTCAGAATTCCTGCGCTGAAATGCTCAGGGACTGATGGGAGGAGTTAACTCTAGAGTTGGGGTAGCGGAAGAGGAGAACTAGAAGTAGCATCTACATCCCCATCTGGCTCCTCCTCAACCCCCAGGGTCTGGATATTTATTCTCTGGAAAGAGTAGAACAATGGATTTCTAGACTGGAAGACATACCAGGCACTGCTGTTGGGGGCACCTTACTGAGATTAGATAGACTGAATGAAAGTACACTTCGCAGATGCTGAGAACCTCAGATCTCATCTCCCATTTGTCTCCCAGAAGCTGACAGGTAGGCCTGGAGGCAGAAGACTAGGAGTCTTTCTCGAAAAATCTGATCAACCCAGAAGGAAAGACGCAAAGACAGTTACATTAAGGATTCCCCAATAAAAAAAAGCTCGGTTAGATCACATGATTGTGACAGTCACAGCAGCCAGGCCCCACTCACACTCTCAGAGCTCGCACTCAGCATCTTATTGGACTAATCTTTAAAGTATTCAGGAGTAATGGCCATCTAAGAAAAGCCTCTAATATGATAATAGAGAACAAACAATTATAAACAAAGCAACTCAGTGAAAACAGAAACCATAAAAAGAAGATGAAAATTTCAACAGGGCAAAAATCAATTACTGTTAATATCTTCAGAGTTATAAGAGAGAATACTGTATTCATGAAACAAGAATGAGATATCCTTGAAAAAGAAACATTCAGCGAATAAGAAAGACTTCTTGGAAATTAAGAATATGATTACAGAAAGAAATTCAGTGAAAGTACCAGAGGCATTTGAATCAGAGTGACTCCATCTTGAACAGGGGCTGTGTCAAATAAGGCTGAGTCCTACCGGGCTGCATTTCCATTTTAGGCATTCTTAAGTCACAGGATGGGATAGGAGGTGGGCACAAGATACAGATCACAAAGACCCTGCTGACCCAGATTCACTAAGAAGCTGGCCAAATCCCGCCAGAACCAAGATGGTGACCTCTGGTCATCCTCACTGCTCATTATTTGCTAATTATAATGTATCAGCATGCTAACAGGCATTCCCACCAGTGCCATGACAGTTTACAAGAGCCATGGGAACGTCAGGAAGTTGCCCTATATGGTCTACAAATGGGAGGAAACCTCAGTTCCTGGAATTGCTCACCCCATTCCTGGAAAACTCATGAGTAATTAACCCCTTGTTTAGCACATATAATCAAGAAGTAACTATTAGTATACCCAGTTGAGCAGCCCAGGCCACTGTTCTGCCTATGGAGTAGTCATTCTCTTATTTCTTTACTTTTTTCTTAATAAACTTGCTTTCACTGCACTCCATGAACTCGCCTTGAATTCTTTCTTGCACAAGGTCCAAGAACTCTCTCTTGGGGCTGGATCAGACCCCTTTCTGGTAACAAAAGGGTTCAAAAATAAACATTAGAACATCTCCCAGAAAATAAAACAAAAATATAAAACTCAGAAAACAGGAAAGAAAGGCTAAGAAAATTAGAGAACCATTTCCAGAATACAATAGCTAAAAAAAAGGAGTTACAAAAGGACAGAAAAGAGAATATGAATAAAAGAAAATCATCAGTTATTGCGAGAAATTATTATCCCGGAATTGAAGAATATGAGTTTCCAAATCAAAAAGACCCAACAAGTGACCAGCACAATTGATGTAAATAGGCCACGCAAAGGCAAGATATTGAAATCAGCATACTGGGACAAAGAAGATTCTTTTGACCTTCAAAGAGTAAAGGCAAAAAACAAACACACAAAAAAACAAAAAACAAAAAAAAGAATGGGTCACATATAAGATTAAGTAATTAAATGGCTTGAGACTTCTCAATAACAACACTAGAAATTAGATAATGAAGCAAAACCTTTGAAACCCTGAAGGAAAATAAATTCCAACCTAGAAATAATATCAAGCCCAACTACCATTAAGTGTTAGGGTAGAATAAAAACCTTTTAATGCATATGAGGTCTCCAGATATTTTGCCCTCTATGTTCCCTTGCTCACGAAGTCACTGGAGAACATGCTGTACCAAGAAGAGAGAGCAAGCTACGGAAGAAGACATGGTATCTAGGATCTCAGAGATGACACAGAAGAGAGGGGAAGGGAATCACCAAGACGATGGCAAGGGCGATCCCAGGATGGCAGCTGAACACCGCCATGGAAGCAGGAGTGTGAGCTGTAGCACAGGAGAAAGCCCCAAGCAGACTTTATCAGGACAATGGAACTGAGAGGACAGCACTTTGAGACTGGGGTTAACAGAGTGATGTGAACACAGAAAACCAAGCAAATATTCAGTGATAGTAATACACATAAAAAACTAAGAAGTCAATTATTAATCTTAGGGGAAATAGTTGTACATGAAAAGGAAAAATAATAGTCAATGACTTGGTATAAGTTGAACAGTGTTTATAAAGCCTTATAAAGTAAATACTGAATACTGTCATAACTAAAATTACAATAAACCTATGTTGAGGGTGGGGGATGATAAGACTGTGATTATATGATAGAAGCAGAGAAAAAGGTAGGTAAATCCTCTCTTATAGTGGGAGGTTAATAGATAATGCCTAGATAAAATCAGGAAGTAGCAATACAAGCATGCTATTTAGAGACACGCGGGTAAATATCAAAAGAATAGGCCACTTATTTTTATTTTTTTGAGACAGGATCTCACTATGTTGCTCAGGCTGGGATCAAACTACTGAGCTCAAGTGATCCTCCCTCTTCAGCCTCCCAAGTAGCGGGGACTACAGATGCACTCCACCATGCCCAGCTAGAACTTGTTAATATTGTTGCAAGAGGTTGTCTCTGTGGAAGTAGAAACGGGAAGTGGTTGCTGTTGTTAGTTTTTTTTTAAAAAAAGGGAATGGCCCATTTTAAGAAAGCTATAAATAAGGGTTAGCCCAATCTTCCATGCCCTTTACACACATAACATGCAACATAAATGCTTAAAGCATCACTTTTTCTCATGTCAGGTTCCCACACGGCTTACTCCTTTTTACCTGCAGACTGCTCCTGTCACCCAGGCCCACCCACTGGCAGTCTCATAGTCCTACACCATCCATCCCAACTCCATATGCATCTCCAGGTCTGAGACTTGTTGGGGCCATTACTGTCCAGTACCAGCTTATCCAGCTGCAAGTTGTCCTCTCTCCATAAAACCCTCATTGGCCACTCGAGGCCCTCTAATCTCTCCATCCATATCATTGCTTTTGATAATCTGGTAACAGCAGCCACACAGACTCATTGAGGAGCATTCTTTTTAAATACCCTCACTTTTTTATCCAATTCATATGCGTCTACCTTATTTTGTGATAAAGCTGAAGACTCTTAGATGGCCACATGATCTTCTGCTTCTTTTCTACCTTCATAGAGTCTATCCAGTACCAGGCAGAGAGCAGTTCCTCAACACGTATTTGTTGTACTGAATTATAACTGATAGTCATACTAATAAAACTCAGGCACTGGTTCTGCAAATGGATCCAGGGGCAGCAAATGCCTCTGGATCAGCAAATGGAGTTGAAATTATGGTCACCAGAGTTACAGTTTTAAGTCTACTTTGCATTCAATTTCTTTACATTTTGTATTCCAAGTCTTTGACTCCAATATTTTATTTATTTTTAAAATGATAATCCATTTACGGCCCATATGTTGGAAAGATTTTTCAGGTTTCTTCTAAAAAGCTCATCATGTCTAAGGGAGCCTCTTCTTTTGGGAGATTTGAGCACATGGATAATGAAAATGAAGTTCTCAGGAAAGGGTTAAGAGGACAGGCCTTTGGTGTCCCCAGAACGTCTTGATACCTTCTCTCCATTTCCCAAACATATTCCTAAGTTTCTAAATCATATCAGAAAGAACCCACGACAAGATTTCACCTCCTGAGAGAGTAAATGAAAGCAACATCATTGCTATGGGAACAGAAGGAAAACCTCAACTCTTACCTCACTAAGACTTTCTTCTTCACAGAACGTCTGAGAAAAAAACACACAGGTCATCGTTTCTTCCTTCTTCGTAAAAAGAATAAAGTCTTTTCCAATTCTCATGGACCCACTGTATTGAAAATGAAGAACATCATGTTTTACATCTCAAATACTAAAAAGGAAGAAACAGGTAGGCTGTTACCACTGTGTACTGTAATAGGATGTTCTTTCCAACACTGTTCTGCTGACCCGTCATCGAGAGGGTATAATTTCTTTTTTTTCAAAGTAAAGCAGAAGAATTTGAACTAAGCCAGCTCCACACTTTCGCTTGCGATTTGGCTGCTGGGGAAAGGGTCCATTCAGGGCTTGAAAGAACAATCATCTGTCTCAGGCAGGAGCCGTACAAGTGAGCCTCATGTCCTCAACTTTCAATGCAGCACACTAAAAAAATGAGCTGCAGACACAGCACCTAGGTTAAAATATGCTTTGAGAAACAACAGAACATAGAGATGCAACAAAGCCCTAAAGTCCAGGGGTACTGCTTCAGGGATCTCTGAAAGAGGATTTATCTTATTATTTGGGAGAATTAACTTAAAATGCTGTAAAGATAAAAGTCAGTTACGGGCTGGGCATGGTGACTCATGCCTGTAATCCCAGCACTTTGGGAGGCTGAGACGGGCTGATTACTTGAGGTCAGGAGTTCGAGACCAGCCTGGCCAACATGGTGAAACCCTGTCTCTACAAAAATACAAAAATAAGCTGGGCATGGTGGCTCACGCCTGTAGTCCCAGCTGCTCAGTAGGCTGAGGCAGGAGAATCGCTTAAACCAGGGAAGTGGAGGTTGCAGTGAGCCGAGATCATGCCACTGCACTCCAGCCTGGGTGACAGAGTGAGAATCTGTCTCAAAAAAAAAAAAGTCAGTTTTGTATATGGAGATTATAACACAAAGTAGGTCACCCCTGCCTCAAGTTTATATTCTTTTTAAAGCTTTACATGCCTGCATCATTCTGTGTAAACTGCTTTATAAACAGTGTTCCCAGTATCAATAATATATGTTTTAAGGGAAAAAAAGATTCTCACCTTTTAAGACCATTGCCGTATTGCCCTATGAACTTCAAGGTTGACAGCCGTTTTTTGGATCGTCCAAAGTAAATGATGTCTGAAGCTTCCTCTGTAATTGACAGTGACTTTTAAGGTGGTTAGGAAGACTCTTTGACACTGGCCTGAGGCCCAGTTGTCAGGATCTCACATTCCTCAGAACATCAGGGCAAATCCCTAGCTCTCGGGTCAGCCCAGACACAAGGATTTTCATCAGGATGCATAGTCTCTGACAAGGGTCCTAATGGTATTACAGTCAGCCCAAGGTACTGTGGGCTCCACATTCACGGACTCAACTACTCTCGGACTGAAAATATTCAGAAAAAAATAAGTTGCATCTGGACTGACCATGTACAGACTTTTTTTTTTTTTTTGGTCATTATTCTCTAAACAATAAAGTTTAACAACTATTTAACAGCATTTACACTGCATTGGGTATTATAAGGAATCTGGAGAAGATTTAAAGTATACAGGAGGATGCATATAGGTTATATGGAAATACCGTGCCATTTTCTTTCCACAGCTTTTGGTATCCTAGAAAGGTCCTGGAATCAACATCCTACAGATACCGAGAAACAACTGTATACTGAAAGAGATGAGACAGACCTAACCATGTGGCCTTAGGTAGAGTTTAAAAGTCTGAGCCTTATGCAATCCCTCCCCCCTCCCCCCTCCCCATGAATGACGAGGTGATGGGTGCTGACGAGTTGATGGGTGCAGCACGCCAACATGGCACAAGTATACATATGTAACAAACCTGCACGTTATGCACATGTACCCTAGAACTTAAAGTATAATAATAATAAAAAAAAAGTCTGAGCCTTAATTTCCATGTTCTGGAAGAGGGAACTACTTAATATATCACAGCGTTGCTGATGAAGATAAATGAAACAAATTAAATGAGATGACGTATTTGTGAAATCCTGAACACAAAACTTGGCACTCGGTGGGTGTTACCAAATTATAAGTGTTGTAATTATTTGTACCACTAGTAATTTCCCCACAAATTTAACCCTTAACCAGGCCCGTGTGAGACTAAGAGGGGCAGGATGGCCTCTGCTCTGATACCACCTGGGAAAGAAGGCTAATCATTTCAGACGTTCCAAGTCATTCTCCTGACCTCTCCACGTGTTCTGGAATTCTACACAGTAATCCTTTGGACTCCAGAATATATTAATAGCAACCTCCAGGACCAAGAATGTTCTTCTTGTTGGCCTACCTGAATACATGCTGAAGAACTGTCCTGAGGACCCTGTGTCAGTCTGGGTACAGACATGCTATAGTTCAGTGGCACATGGTATGAGGTGTGTAGAAGCCACCATACACTCTGCTTCTCTGAAACTAACTGGACCTTCTATGATGTGTTCCTATGAGGGGTTAGGCATTAGGTGAGGATATCCATAATGACAATATTAGCTAGTTCTTATTGATTGTTTAGTATGTGCTAGGTACTACGTTGTAAACTTACATGCACAGTTTATTTAATATTTATAACAAAACAAGAAAAGTATTATTATTATTATGACCTGCATGTCACAGATGAGCAAATGTAAGTCTAAGGAGTTTTAAAAACCTGCCCAAGGTCACAGAGCTGATAGACGGTACAGCTAGGATTATAACCCAAAGTTGTAAGTCTTGATACAGACATAGTATAGCTCTGAACCAAATCCTATGTGTTTATTACACACTACATGAACTCACATGCATGGTTACCAGGTTCTGAGCATGTGAATAAACCACTGAACAGGCCAGGCATGGCTCCTGCCTTGGACAACATTATGTTGTGGTAGGAGAAACAGACTGAAAGTAAACTAATAAACAAGATCATTTCTGACTGAGAGTATTAAGTGAAGAAAACAAAACCAGGATAAAGGGATAGAGAATTAACAGGAATGTGGCCTGCAAACAGAATGATCAGGGAAGCCCACTGCCAGATAGTTAACATGAGATGGATTCAAATGATCAGGGGCCAGCCATGTGTGGGTGGAATGTTCTAAGCGAGGAAGTGGGAAGAACAAGAAAAGGCCAAAGAGATGCATAGAGCCAAATAATGTAAGGCCCTTGGAAGAGATGCTGAGAGTACAAATTGTATTAAGTAATAGAAAACCACTGAGGGTTTTCAACAGGAAAATAATATGATAAAATGTACATTAAAAGAAAGAAAATCACTCAGGATGCTGTGTGGGGAATGGACTATAAAGGGGCAAGACTAGATAATTTTTTAAAAACCCAGAAAGTACTGTAGTCATTTTCTATGGGTCCAGATTGATGTAGCTCCCTTTGAACAAGGGATAGATTCTACTTTTAGTCATCTTCCTTCTACTTTATTACTACTTGATGCTACTATGTAACTGAAGTGTGAGTTCCTTCTGAAGGTCTGAATATTCATCATTTGTCTGTGTTTCTAACATTTTTTTCATGACCCATATAAAAAGAGTTGCTTCTTTTCATAAGGAATTCCCTTAGAATATATCACATATATTCTGTCATTTATTTTAGGAATTCAAAAACAGGAACTTAACATTCAGGCTAGAAGAGAAAAATCACTTTTTTCAGCACGGGTTTTTGTTGTTGTTGTTGTTGTTGTTACAAACTCTTCCTTCTCCTTTAGTTAAACACTAAAAGACCAAGAATACTTTTAATCAAAATGACCTGGAAAAATCAAAATTATCCGAAGTCAAAACAAAACTGGGTGAAATAGTCTTTCTAAACTTGCTAATAAATACTCTTCAACTATTCAGACCAAGGGGAAACTTCAGAGCCGAAATCACATATTTGCCATGTCTCATATTCTCAGCTTCTAACAGCAAATCAGTATCTGAGCATATTGACGCATCCTTTCCTCGGTTGTGGAACAGACCACGGCAGTTCCATATTACTTGAAAACTCTCACCATTTTTAAAATCTAGTGGTCAAAAACCCTAGTTTGTGGAACACACCGTGTTTAAAGATTTCAGGAAAACAATAAATCTAAAACAGCCCAACGCCCTCAGATGGAATCACATTTCAATTTCACAGCACACAGACACTGTGTGCCCACAATGCGCTAGCTTTGTGCTAACCTTGAATACACAAAGATAAGTCATGAAATATATTGTAGATGTATTCCTTATGATGGGAACATTCATTTGAAGCAACTAAATTTTCCAAAATGCAGAGGAAAAAACAAGGCTAAAAGCAAGGAGAGGTAACCTCTACCTCAAGGGTAAGCAAAATTAAAAATAGCCTAAAGGCACAGGAAACGGCCTGGGGATCTCCCAAGCAATACCTAAAGGGTGAGCTAAAAACAATCTCAGAGTTCATTCAGTGACTATTTGTTTTCCATTCATTCCCAGATGCTTATTTCCTACAATCAGTAACATTTGCCTTTCATTTTTCTGACAATATTTACATACATTTACTTTTTGTCTTGGTTAAGATGGTTACAATAGATTTACTCTGCCAGCTGGGATACTTAAAAAGTTCAACAAAAAGTCTGGGGCTTATTTCCTTTAATAGCTCCACACCTGTTTTTGCATAGATAGCTCAATTGATTTTTATTTATTTTGTAGGTTTTCAGACTGTTTCCTTTAACAGCCAGTTAGGTATCTAGATAATTAACTTACCAGGGCTCATGCCACATCCATCATCCAGGAAACACAGCATGAAGCCCCCCTGCAGGTTTTCATTATCCACTGTAAGAAAAAAGCAGTTATTACTAATAAATATCGGGCTAATTTGTTAGTCAGAAAGTCATGCTGCTAGAATAATGACTCGTCTTCCTCCAATGCAGCCACAGAGTGACAGAGTTATGGCACAAAGACGGAGCCCAGAGTGGAGTCTTGGCTACAGCTTCACAAGAAACTGCAGGGAAAAAACAATCATGCAACATAAAGGCTTTAAATTAACATAAAACATCTACATGTGAAAAAATTATGTATACAGCAGGACATGTTCTGCTCTGGAACTGGACTAGTCCTTTAAATGTCAGGCATTTCCTCTCTGTGGGGAGGGAAAAAGGTAGATGGTGAAGTGACCCCAGGATCCTTCGCTCAAACTGACCAACCTTTGTGCCCTTCCACCAAGGCACAATTATAAAATAAATCTAGGCCATTCTTATTAAATCCATCAGGCTCCCTTCTAAGTAGTTAATTCCCATAAGAGCCATTTGTGAGTGTTTCTTCCTGGGAACAAATATTTACCTCTTGAAGACGCATTTATAATCTTTGAAAATGGCTACGTTATTTGAAATCAATTTTGATGATTTAAAGATATCATTAAATGACATAATATAAATCTTTGGTTTACAAAAATGTTGGAGGTAGGCTGGGTGTGGTGACTCATGCCTGTAATCCCAGAACTTTGGGAGGCCAAGGCAAGAGGATCACTTGAGGCCAGGGGCTCAAAACCAGCCTGCCCAAGGTAGTAAGACTTGGACTCTTAAATAAATAAATAAATAAAGTTAAAGGTGCAACTAAAACTAATGAGACTAATTTTAGTGCCCAGTTTGTAAACGGGCCCTGAAAATAATTTCAGTAGTTGGACATATGAGTTCTAGGACATTTCTCTTTCTTAAATGACAGTGTTATAAAGGAATAATTTATGCATAATAAACTACACATGTTTAAAGTACACAATTTGACAAATTTTAACACACACATGCATGAAATCATAACCACAATCACAGCAGCGAACATATCCACACCTCAAATGTTTCCTTCTGACCCTTTGTAAACCCTCCCTTAGGACTCTTTCCTGTCCCATCACCTTCACCTTACCCTCAAGCAATCACTGATATGCTTTCTATCCCCATAGATTCATTTCCAGCACATTTATTAAGTCAACTTCTCTGTTCAAAAGTCACTTAGAGACTGGATGTGGCAGCTCACGCCTGCAATCCCAGCACTTTGGGAGGCCAAGGACGGAGGATGGCTTGAGCCCAGGAGTTCAAGACCAGCCTGGCCAACATAGTGAGACCTCACGGCCACTAAAAATTAAAAATAAAAAAAAAAATAGGCTGGGCACAGTGGCTCATGCCTGTAATCCCAGCATTTTGGGAGGCCGAGGTGGGTGGATCACAAGGTCAAGAGATTGAGACCATCCTGGCCAACATGGTGAAACCCCGCCTCTACTAAAAATATAAAAATTAGCTGGGGATGGTGGCACGTGCCTGTAGTCCCAGCTACTCTGGAGGCTGAGGCAGGAGAATCACTTGAACCCGGGAGGCAGAGGTTGCAGTGAGCCAAGATTGCACCACTGTACTCCAGCCTGAGTGACAGGGCGAGACTCCATCTCAAAAAAAATAGCCAGGCATGGTGGCACATGCCTGTAGTCTTGGCTACTCGGGAGGCGGGAACAGGAGGATCACTTGAGCCTATACTTCAAGTTTGCAGTGAGCTTTGATCACGCCACTGCACTCCAGCCTGGGCAACAGAGAGAGACCCTGTCTCCAAAAAAAAAAAAAGGCCACCTAGAATTAATATTTTAAAAAGTGAATAAGTTTCAAGATAGCCCATGAATACATACTTATAAAACGTACTTAATCTTTCTGGGTTTATAATTTCATGGTGATATGCCCACTTCTAATTCCCCCTTCTCTCTCTAATTTACTTCTTTGTCTATAAACGTTTAGGATCTGGCCTACCATTTCATTTTCCCAGTTCCTTCTCTCTACCTAGTCCTCTGGTCTGCTTACCTCAACTTCTGTGTCAGGACATTCCTCCTCTCCCCCTTTAAGGTATTTGTTCTGTTTAGTCCTCCCTCTGAGGCTGATATTTCCTCACTGTTCAATGAGGGGAATCCAACTCTGCTGAGTTCTCTGCATAAGGCAGTAGCTCTCAATCTTGGTTGCACATTGAAATCAACTAGAGATATTCTAATGTAATTGGTCTTGGATAGGGTTCAGAAATTGGTATTTTCTTGTAAAATCTCCCTCGATTATTCTAATGTTCATCCAGGATTGGGAACCACCTGACTGGAAACCAGGTTTAGCCTCAGGCAGCTCTGCACAGCCGCCACAGCTGATTTGCACTTCTTTGTAAATATTTCTCCTGAAAGGAGCTTGCAGAAAGAAGGGTATTCCTTCAGTAAATGGCTGGGAAAGGCCAAAGATTCCTAGCAGACATATACTACAGTACTTCCCTTTTTTGTAAATCCATATTAGGAATTGGAGACAAGCAAGTACAGCCTCAAAATTTAATACTCCCCATTATCCACTCTGAAACCTGGCCTTGTTTATTTCAATTCCTTAAAACTATGAATTTCAGGTATATTTTATCACCTGTTAATTACGTATGTCCAAAACAAAACAGACACCTCCTCCCATGTTAGACTTTCTCCTCCTTCTTGTCTCCTGTTCAGTAAATGGCATCACCCTGCCCCTAAGCTTCAGTTGTCCAAATCAAAACCTCAGGATCATCATCATGTTCTCCATCTCCTCTTCCCACACATGGGCAACTATCTGGTCCTCTCGATTTCACTGCCTCAATGATTCCCATTTGACCACTTTCTCTATCCCCAGTATACTGTCTGGTTCAGGAAACCACCATCTCTTTTCTGGATCACAACAGCTCCCTAACTTCTTGCTCTCCCTGTAGTCATAGGGTGCAGCCAGTCTTCCATCAGTTGTGTATTTCACTGCTCTCCTGCTTAAAACCTCTCCATGGCTTCCCACTGCTCTCAGGATAAAATCCAACCACGTAATAAATCCTGTTTGTCCTCCATGACCTGGCCCTCTGGATAACTCTCCAAGCTCATTTCTTGTCTTCCCCTCACCTGCCCATACTGCCCATACTGCCACCTTCCACTCCTGCACAAATACTCCCCTTGAACAAATCTTTAACATCTCAAACATTTTTTTCTACATTGTCTCCATATTCCAGTTGCTGCACATAATGCCCTTCCACCCTTTCCATGCTTCACTCACCAGGTGAATGCCTATTTTCTCTTTCAGTTAGTTCGTATCAGACATCTTTTAGGAAGCCTTTCCTAATCCTTCCATGTCATTAGTGCCCATAATTAATGTCGCCTTTATCTCTGTTTTCCCACCTTTGTAGTATATTAAAATACCTGTTCATATATCTGTTTGTCTTTTGGACCAATGGTTCCTACACTTTTTTGGAACACAGTACCCTCGGAGATATGAGGAAAGCTATGGGCCCTCTACCCACCAAAGTACAGCTACATACTGCATTTTTCATGGGCTCCACACTAAAATGCCAGTTCCTTAAGAGAGTAAACCCAGCACCTAGCCCAGTGCCCAGCATTTAGTAAGCACTAAAAAAAAGTACTGAATGTATATCCATGTTTACTGGAACTAATACACACAAACGTATAAAACACCATAGTGAAACATATTTCATTTGAATTTTATAGCCTTCAAATTAATTACTTGACAGAAATTTAAGATTGACAAGAATTCAAGACCACAGTAAATAATTTGAAAACTAGTCCAATCTTAGATTAACTTTGTATCCCCAGAATAATTCTATGTATTGATGCATAAGCATTGTCCCTGCCTTTTTTATCCATTTTTTTTAAGAAAATCAGTTTGCTAGATTGATAGCCATATGATGGCTTGCCTCAATAAAAAATGAATAGGTAAATCAATAAAAACATGAATAGGTAATTTTAAGCCAAACTGAACTATAAGTTCAGTTTTTTGCCAAATATACATAAACACAAAAAAGAAGTAAGTGCCAGCCAAGCCAGGCGTGGTGGCTCACGCCTGTAAACCCAGCACTCTGGGAGGCTGAGGCAGAGGGAATCACTTGAGGTCAAGAGTTTGAGACCAGCCTGGCCAACATGATGAAACCCCATCTCTACTAAAAATACACAAACTGGCCGGGTGTGGGCCTGTAATCCCAGCTACTCGAAAGGCTGAGGCAGGAGAATTGCTTGAACCTGGGAAGCGGAGTTTGCAATGAGCCGAGATGGTGCCACTGCACTCCCTGGGCAACAGAGTGAGACACCATTTCAAAAAAAAAAAAAAGAAGAAGAAGAAGAAGTGCCACTTTAATCTCAACTTGGTCAAGATCTTATTTTGTTTGTTTATGAAGATGCTGAGTACTTAGGTCTCCAGTCACAAACTCCAAAAAATATAATGCATGGATTCTGATTACATTTGTTGTGTTTGTGACTATGGATAAGTCTTCTCATCCCTGCATCAATTGTGTGTGTGCTCTGAAGGAAATGCAGCTTACATCTGTTCCTCCTCCTCCATTGCTAGTACTATTGCCCTATTATAATTCTCATGAAATCTTGCCTAGGTAATTCCCATAGCCATATCTCCCTGCTATCCTTGCTTTCATACTTCTCCAGACTCTCTTGTAAGGTATTTCTGGAATGAGTATCCTTCTTTGAAAAAAGAAAAGAGCACATGTCTACTTAGAAAACTGACACTGCTCAAAGTTCTTCAGTGGTCCACTGACTGCAGAAAAAACCTTAGTATGGTATTGAAGACACTCATTCATTTGGTTCTGACACTCAGTGTGAGTCAAGCGAGCCTCAGCATTGTTCCCTGAGGGCTTCTTCACCAGGTATCTGTGTGGCTCCCTCCCTCACATCATTCCGGTCTTTGCTGGTACGTTAGCTATTTAAAGAAACCTTCTTAGACCACCCCATGAAAAACTGTATACCCCTTCCATGGCTCTCTGTTTTCTTATCCTGCTTTATGTTTTTCCCTTTTAGCACTTATCGTTGCCTGGTACACTATGTATTTGTTCATTTCTGTGCTGTATCTCTCTCTCCCCATTAGGATACATGTTCCAGGGGAACACAGACCTCAACATTTTGCTCAGTGCACTATCCCCAGCATCTACAATAGTAGACAATAAATTATTACTGAATAAATTAATGAATCTGTGAACTAGCCTACATCCATTTGTTTTCTCATAATTATTATCTAGACAGGAATATTCTTTTCTTCCTGGAGTATCTGACAAAAATCACGTCCATATTTCAAGCTCTAGCCCCTTAATAGGAGGCATAATTTCTTCTTTCTCTGTGTTCCCACCATACTTTGAGTCTCTCCTAGGCAAGAGTGTTCATCCTAGTTTACTCTATATAATTGGATATGGAAGGGAAGATGACTTTTTCTCACTAGAAAGGCCCTATTCTGTGCCTTCACTCACTTTTTCCCTGTGGAGGTGAGCTCACTCACCTACTGGTCACTTAGGGAAGAATAAACTGGGAGGCTCAGTTCGCACCCTGCATTTTCCTCCTGGGAGAAAGCTGCCTGCAGACAGCATGAGTCCTGACCCCTTGTCCCAGGGCAGACAAGTTTCAGAGGAAGCCCAACTCCACTGGGCGGGTGAGTCTGCGTGATTCCGGGGTCTGATCTGCAAGTCCATTTGCTCTCTCACATTAAGCTACATACTCCAGCCTAACATTTATCAGCAATAAAGGCTGACTCTTTTTTTATTTCTCAAGTTTTTCAGGACCTGGAGAGGAGAAGGAAATGAAGAGCGTCATTTATTGTTTCCTCAGTTATCTCAAGAGGTCCACGTCTATCTTCCTCATGAAGCATAAGCACTCCTCTGGCTCAGAACACTCAGTTAACTGAGGTGCTTTTTAAACAGAGATATGGATTTAGATCATGGAGCATATCCTCTCACCCGTGACCAGTAGCCAATATTGCAGAACAGCTGACAGAAAAGTGATAGGGATGCAGCGCGACTACCTGGGCATTTCTCTAGGTAGTGTTAACTACAGAGCTGGATCACAGAACCTAACTTCATTAGCATCATAGTCTAATGAGATAACTAATGAGTGCAAAAATACTGGATGACTACGAATAAAGTCAGCAAAGAAAACAGATTTTCTAGCCCTCATACCGCACATTCACGTACACACTTTAAAACTAATCAGTTGGGAATGATGTATGCTTAATTATGAATAACCACTAACTTAGTATGCTTTTTAAAAATAAAACTGTTTCTCATGGCAGGCGAATTGAGTGTTCCAAATCACTCTGATACATTCACAAAACTCTGGAAGACCTAATTTTGCAAATGGGTCCTGCAGCACACAATTTGACTCTCAGAGTATACTTTCCTCACCCTGGCTCCCCACAGGGTCACTGTACCCACAAAGCACTTAGATTACATTAAAATGCTATAGAATGTGGTTTTATCTCATGAAATGAAATACAAGCAAATAACTACAGGCTTTCCATCAGAAGAATATAAAAGAAAAAAGCAAATCTGCTCACCTGAAAAGACATCAAGCCTTTCAGCCCCTGCATCTCTGGAAACAATATAAACATATTATTGCTTCAAGATAAAATGGATTGCTTACATAAGGTATAACCTACTGTCAGATATCAAGCAATACAAAAATCCACTTAAACTGCTTCAAAATCAATTTCTAACATGTTTCACTGTGCTATTATATCATAAGACCTACGATTAGTCATAATTTGAGAATATGAAAAAGACTGCAGTTCAGAAATGTGAAAGAAGAGATGGAATTTAGTGGAAATTACACAAAAAAACTAACAAAATGGATATAATTTTTTTAAAAAAACAACAAAAAAAGCTGGCTGGCAAATAATCCAGAAGTCATGGAATGTTTTTCATATTTGAGTTCCAAAATAAAGAAAAATCAAATTACTAGGTGATAGTGTACTATAAGAAGACGTTTTAAAGAACATACATGGGAGGAAAGAAACCAAAATGCTAATAGGAGTTTTCTCTATGTTAGAGATTGGAAAACTACAGCCATGGACCAAAATGGCCCATCAACTGCTTGTAAATAAAGTGTTATTGGAACACAATCATGCCCATTCATTACATAGTATCTAAAGTTGCCTCAGCACCTCAGGCCGAGTTGAGTAGTTTCAAAGGAGACCCCATATTCCACAGAGGTGAAAATACTGACCATCTGGTCTTTTACAGAAAAGGATGCTGACCTCTCTTCTAGGTGATGAAGATTTAAAAAAAAAAAAAAAATCTCCATTTTCTAAAATTCACAGATTTTTTTTTTTTGTATTTTTTTACAATTATTTTTAAAAGTAAAACTTTTAATAGGAAAGGAGAAAGGGCCAGAAGACTCCGGCTTCAATACCGAGGATGTGACAGAAAGGAAGAAGGCATAGGCAAGGAAGACTTAGCTGATGAGTAAGAAGGTAAGTTAAGGCAGGGAGGAGTCTAAAAGGAAGCTCAGTGCAACAACAGCAACTACGTAACTCTGGTGGGGAAACCTGAGCGTCTCTCAAAAGTTCCATCAGTTCTAAACCCAAAACTACCCCAAACAAATCTGAGTAGGTACACTGCTCGTGCTCCATAGGCCTAGAAGTTAGTCCCATATAGCTCCTTCCTCTAGCCAATTGCTGCTTCTCAGTCCTCCCTATATAGACACTCTGGAGTCACCACTGCCATTTCTTGAGCACCTCCCATGTATCAAGTAAGCACTGAATGATGTATTTTTGAAAATTCTCTTCCAATCCTTACCATAGTTCCGTAACACATAGGTATCAATATCTCCATTATATAATCATGCATTACACAAAGTACCATGTACACAATAAACGCTTAATAAATGCCAATGTATTGAAATGGAAGTTTTTAAAGAGAGGTTTTTTATGCAGCACTTCCACAGATAAAGGCATAAAATAATTCACCTTTATCATATATTAAGACATTTTATAATAATCATTGTTCTTTAGCCCAGGACACTTCCTCTCTGAAGAGCTCTTGTATGAGGAAGCGGGCCCTAACAAATCCTTCCTATATCACCACATATTCTTCTCCTCTCTCTACAATATTCTTTTAATATCTTTCAGTTCTAATTTTTAAAACTACAGGAAATCATTAAAATAATGAATACAATGATATAAAAGAATTTCTTAGAGTAACATGGGGACTCTCCTTCATAAGACCAACCGAGTATCTTAAGTCTGCTAAATAACTTCTTCTGATGTCAAACACTAGCATCTAAGCAGTGGTGGAAAACTCAAACGTCCATGAAGAACGAGGGACTGAAGGGTTGAGGTTGTCCACAGGGGAAAACTGGAGGCAAAGCTGAAGGCACAGGCTGGTCCCACGAGAGCACCTGCTACTCACCTCCAGCCCCTGATCCCGTGGAGGAATGTGGCCTTGAGATTGCTACTTCTCCTAATCTTTCAAGGAAGGCGGAGGGCCCAAAGTTTTTATTTGGTATCTCCAATATCTTAAACCTTATAAATAATTCCTTTTTTCTCCCTTCCTTTTCTTTATAAACACTGTGCAAACTTTCACTATGAGCCAAACACACATAAGACAGGCTGGACCTGGTCAAGGGGCTGCCAGCTTACAAATGCTGCTCTAAGAATCGGTTGATGGATCACATGTCTGAAGTCAATCTTTCTTTCCCAATCACCCTCTACTAAGAAACCGTTTCCATTGTTCTACTTCTTCTACGTTCTGATTTTACTTGTCCTCCTTTGTTGAATGACTGAAATAAACAACTTCAAAGGAGAAAAGACAGTTGGAAAAATCGACAAATGTGTTCTTTCAGACTTTCAGATGTCAAGTTGCTGAAAGTGGGCCATTCAGTAGGAGGCAGGACCGATGACATAGGAAGAGCCTTGCTTCCAAGCTTTGAGCAGAAGAAACAGTAGCAACCCTAAGCTCCTTTAGGGAAACTAATCAGAAGTGTTCATCTGTCTTGGCTTCATCCTTATTAGCTCCTTCCAAGCTGAGCTCATGGCTCTGAACAACAGACTTTATTCTTTTTCTCCGCTTCCCTCCCTTTTTATGATTCCACTAGCTCAACAGACAGAGTTTCCTAAAAGGAGGAGATGACGACTTTCCACCTAGTGCAGGGCAGGAAATTCTGGATGGCTAGTTAATTGACTACACTTTGTGGTCACACTCTCAGACGGGGCATCTCCCATCTAAGGCAAAAAACGGGAAACAAATACAAAAAAGCTAAAATACTGTTATCAACCAATGGCAGGGAATTTAAGCTTCTACTGAGAACCTTGATCTAACAACTGCATATTACCTCCTGGATGGATTTTGCTTTCTAAGGAAAAAGTAGGAAAAATCTTCTGTTATAGGGAATACCAATATAAAACATGTCAAATGCTTTATTCAATTTAACTTAAAAAAAATTATCCCCTCACAAGCTCCCACAAATACACTACTGAGTAGAACTTAAATTGTCTAAGGGGTTCCTTAATCATTAATACCTTTATTGGAGACAGTAAAATGTGGTAGTGAGGTTCTGCAGCCAGACAGCCAAAATTTGAATGCCAGCTCTGCCAAATATGAATTATGTGACTTTGAATAAATTATCTAATCTCTCTATGCATCAATTTCCACATATGTAGAACTAGGATATTAACTCCCATCTCAGAGTGTAGATGTAAGGATGCATGACATAATGCTCATATATAAAGTGTTTATGTATGTCTGATACATAGTAAGAGATCAACAAGTCAGCTATTTTCTTAACCATACAATTTGCTTCAATGCAGACTTCAATAAATGCCCAAATCCATGTGTAAATTCTCAAGACAAGTATACACTGACATACAATTCAAAAATATCTAAATGAATATGTACTATTAAATGGTTATTAACATAAAAACAGACTTCAAGTTTGATCATAAATAAAAATTAAATAAAGGTGAATAATTCTTTCTCTCAACGATGCTTTTCCCTAGAATACCTTGATTTTGTAGGAAATCAAGTCACAAAACATTCCAGATGGGAAAACATGACATGATCTTTTTATCTTTCCATGTAACTAGACAAGAGTTTGGTCATGAAATTCCCTCAATAAGTGTTGTTCACAGCTGAACCTTACCTTGCATTGTCCAGCAATTCAGCCAGTGCTCCAAAAAGGAAACTGTGAGTGGTGCTGATGAAGAAACAAAGAGAAAACAAAAAGTTAAACCAGGTGTGTAATCAATGTAAAAGCTTTAAGATACTTGCAGACAAACGTTCTCCAGTTCCAGACATCTAATGAATTAAGAAGTTACTCTAGAAACAACTCTCTCAGCACGGTCAAGATTTGGAACTAGATACCCTCCATTATGAAGCCGGGGTTAAAAACACTTTTGCCAAAATATCCTGTCCACTTCTAATAAAATAAAAACTTAAGGGTGTTAGTGTCTATCACTGAAATAAACTTTGACCTTTTAATATTACTTTATAAGCATGTTTTCAAGTGAGTTTTTTCCCCCGAGGATTTTTCATTAAAATTGTATTACTTAAAGACAAAATATTTCTGAAGAATACTGATCAAAATCCTTGCCTACTAAAAGGCCATAAGGCTCCATCTGCAGGCAAAGGAATTGGCAGGAAGCCCTTGCGTGCCTCACCAATCTGTATTTTTCTGGGGAATCTTTCTGCTGAAGCCTGCTCCTTAAATAACCTCAAAAATGGCCTCAGGTCACTCTCTCCTGTACCCTCCAATGCCAAGTCCTCGGTAACATAATGCTCCAGTCAGCCTTCAGTATTTACAACATTTTGGAGGTTGCATAGTTATCTGAGGGTGGAATCACACTAGCTTAAGGCTCCCAAGCTTGCTTCTAATTTCCTGATGCAGATATTTCAATCAGCAACCTTATCACAGCATTAAGGGAATATTCAGTATGCAATTTTCTTTCTATATTCAGTAAACAGGTAACAGAAGCAAGAGAGCCTCATTTATCAAAAACACATCTGCTCTTCTATACAAAAGAAAGCATCATCTGCAATGTCTCGGAGTCTCCAAACACCTCAGGACACAGGACAACACTTTAGCTTAAAATGTATTTTTTTTTTTTTTTTTTTTTTTTTTTTTTTTTTTTTTGAGACGGAGTCTCACGCTGTTGCCCAGGCTGGAGTGCAGTGGCGCGATCTCGGCTCACTGCAAGCTCCGCCTCCTGGGTTCACGCCATTCTCCTGCCTCAGCCTCCTGAGTAGCTAGGACTACAGGCGCCCGCCACCGCGCCCGGCTAATTTTTTGTATTTTTAGTAGAGACGGGGTTTCACTGTGGTCTCGATCTCCTGACCTTGTGATCCGCCCGCCTCGGCCTCCCAAAGTGCTGGGATTACAGGCTTGAGCCACCGCGCCCGGCCTAAAATGTATTTTTAAAACACACACACATACACACACACACACACACAGACACACACAGAATATATCCCCATATTTTGGAGTTTCAAACACAGAGGCTGATTAAAAGTCTCTTGAGTCCAGTAAGCTTTAAATTTTGTAATTAACAAAAAAAAGTACTAAAATGTTATTGTTACAAAAAGATGTCCTTCACCCAAAAGAAAGCCATTATAAAAATGTAAAATAGTGTAAAAGAGAAGTATGATATGCTTTACAAAATCAGGACTTTAAATCACAAGCCCTTCTAGGAAATTTAAAGTACATGATTCAATATACAAAAATTCAATACACAAACAATCCTTTAGAAAAGCAACTGCAGTAATTCTGACCAAAACATCACATGAGTTTCTGCACTAACTCATTCGAGAGATTGTCGCTGACTGCCTACCATTGCCCATGCTTACAGGTAGGGTCTTGGATGTCTTGGAGCTCAAGCTGGTGGGGTACATGGAAAACACACAAGTAAACAAACATATGAAGATGATATTACAGATTTTGACTGGGTGCTACCTTCATAGTAGTGATAGGTAAGAGTAACTGGTGAGGAGGGGCATGGTGGTAGGGAAAGCACCTCTTGGTAAAAGGTATTTAAACTGAGTCCTGAAGGATGAGAGAATTCACTCCCTTGCAGAGTACGGTAGAAACCTTCTAGCAAGAGCAAGAGATGCAAACACCCTCGAAGCAGAAGAAGAGCTAAGAAGACCAGTGAGCTCCGCTTATGGTAAAATGGGGAGAACAGCTTGAGATGAGAGCATGACTGGGTCATGCAGGGCTTCCTAGCCCACAGAGAAGAACTTGTACTTGGCTGACATACAACTGGAAACCACTGTAGTGTTTTAAGAAGAGGGGCATAATTTGGTTCACATTTTAAAAAGTTCACTCTGGCAGCTTTCCAGGATAAGGACCATCGAGCAGCCAGAATGGAAAGCAAAGAACCCAGTTAAGAGGCTGTCTGGAGTAGTCTGGACAAGGGATGGTGGTGGCTTGGACTAAAGTCAATGGCAGTGGAGACAGAGAGAAATGGATGATTTGAAACATATTTAGAGAAAGCATGCACTTGATGGATTGGACATAGAAGTAAAGGGAGAAATTTAAAAATCACTCCTTTTGCAGAAAGAAGTCTCAAACAACAATCTACCTAGGCTGAGCTCAGTGGCTCATGTCTGGAATCCCAGCACTCTGGGAGGCTGAAGTGGGAGGATCACTTGAGCTCAGGAGTTCAAGGCCAGCCTGGGCAACATAGCCAGGTCCTATCTCTACTAAAAATTAAAAAAAAAGAATTAGTCGGGCATAGTGGTGCATGCCTGTAGTCCCAGCTACTCGGAAGGCTGAGGCTGGAGGATCACTTGAACCCTGGAGTTCGAGGCTACAGAGAATTATGATCATATCACTGCATCCCAGCCTGGGCCACAGAGCAAGACCCTGTCTCCAAATCCAACCAACCAATCTACCTGGAGGAGCTGAGAAGTCTTCGATTTGTATCTAATTTTGTTGTTACTCCATGTCGCTGTCACTTGTTAAGTTACTACACCACTACTTGAAAATGGGACTGGGGAAGTGGCTACCACAGGGTGGTTTGGGAGAATGGAGGTTGTGAAGCAGTAGTCACAAAATCCATATAAAACTGAGGCTGAGGAATTTTTCTGAGATAAAATTCACAGTCCTTCCAGCACCGCACTGAGCATTTTTCTTAAATTCACTCAAAACTATTATTTCTTCATTTGTCTTCCACCTCAGCTACCTTTTAACTTTTTTTCCACCTTTTCCAGCTTGACATCATTCTCTGTAGAGACATAAAAACTGAGTATCTGCTGAATATTGCCTGTTTAACTCTGTTATGTTAATTATACAGTTTGTCCCACACAGCAAGGCTGGCCTTCCCTGGCTTTCTTTATACCTCTACTTTTGTGGTTTCAAATTTGGTACATCCCTGATATCGGTCCATATATTTAGTAAATCCAAATAACCAAAAGATGCCAAACAAAAAAAAAAAAAAAAAGAAAGAAAAAGAAAAACCCTGACGTGCCACTGTGAATTAAACAGCACTAACTGCTGTAATTTGCTGTATGGGAAATGGTAGATTAGAGGAAACACCTCTGTGGTTCTCCTCTGCAATCTGAGTATCTGCAATGACACGTGAGAAGCTCTAAAAGGCAGACAGGCACGGCAGCGAAGAAGAAATGACCAAATAACTAAAAGGTGAGATTCCTATCCTTAGAGAGGTCACATTTTTGAAAAGACTCAGGAGGCCACAGAGTTTGAAATCAATATATGCAAATTACTGTGTTTGAAGGGCAACTTTGTTTAAATTGTCAGTGCGTTAGGCAGACTAAGGTTAGGCAGGATTGGTGGAATCACGGTTCTGCCGACCAACAATTAAACAGTTGTGTTAAATGATAAATGGGGGCCTTCCAACCACTTGGTGTTCATTGAAGAGTACCGAAAGGGTTCAGCCTGGCCCAGAATATATCTTTATCACGCTTTCATGGTTTTAAAAAAGCCTATACAGCTCAAATAAGTAAATAAATCCATAAATCAAATTCACTTGTTGAGTATTTCCTCACGGAACCGGCAAAACCTTTCCTCATGGCGCAGAGACCCTCCCCGACCCCGACCCCACCTCGGCACTCACGAGTTGGCGTGGATGAAATCCAGATGCAGCTGGGCCCGCCGAAGCGCAGCGTACCTGTCGTCCATGCCCTCGAACGCGACCCGCGCAACTCAACGGGACAAGGACACCTGACCGGCAGCCGTTCGCCCGCACCCGCCCCCACACCCACGTCCACGCCCACGCGCAGAGGCCGGGCTCAGCAAACACGTGCTCCCCCTTGCGGCGGGACCGCGAAGCTCCCCCTGCACCGTCGACCCAGTTGTCTTGCGAGGTTGGTTGTTGCTTGGTCTTGGAGCCACAATTTGAGAATGATGCATCTGAGCTAGGTTCTCCTGGAATTGAGATTTATGTAACCTTCTCAGACGGTTGTTCCCCACCCTGCTCCTCTCAGTCACTCCCCAGGGGTAAAATGGAGCCCAAAACTGGGATTAGAATTTGATTCGAAATGATTACACACTCACACAAGATTGTGGGGGAACGTGGGCGGCAAAGCAGGACAGTGCGGGGAAGGTAAGTAGGTAGTTCTCTTTGCTTGTCCATTTGTTACATAGAACCAGAGGTAAGGGTGCTCTGTCCTGTAATCCTAGCGCTTACTTTTCTGTGCGTCTTGGGTTGATCATGTTTTTTTCTATTTGGAGGAAAAAATGAAAAACAGAAGTGACAAGCCGGAGAGAATACAAAAGGAAAACTAAAGACAATCAGAACAGAATTTGGACTTTAATATAGAGACTTGTCCCTAGGTGAGAATAGCGGCCCCCACCTGAATGGATCACTAACCTTTTCTACCTGTCAGCTGACATGCAGCTATTGCACTTGCTGGCCTGGCTCAGTGCCTAGATATTCTGTATTGCTCCAAAAGATAGAACTAGGCAGGTAGAAGGTAGGGGTGAGGGATTGGTGTGGGTAGATAAATATGAGGAAGGACTTCACAGATGTGTAGAACAGCTGTGTAAATAAATGGTGTTTCTCTACTCACAAAGCACTGAGTTCTTAAGTCACCAAAACCCAACTGATTCAATGTCTTTTGACTTGGAAACAAAGGTAGTTCAATAATACTCAGCAAAGATTTTACATGATAGTCATAAAGTCAGAAACAAACATCTTTTAAATAAAGGACTTGAACTAGATGTGTTTGTAATTTCCAGGCATCATACAGGCAGTGAAGCTCTCAGAAAAGAAAAAACAAAAAAATAGTTTTGGAGTAGTCATTCTACTTCCAAAGAGAGGAGTTTATCAACTACTACATTTATGGGAATCAGGAGAGGAAGAGAGATTTGAATGGCAACCCAAAGGAACATGATGTTCTAATTTCAAAACTGGAAGTAAACATAAACATTTCAAGTAATTTTCCTGATTGCATTTTTGTTTTAACAGTGGCTGATGTGGCGATGTTTTGACAGCAAAATTGTCTTTACTAAGCAACTTGAGCTATCTTTCCAATTTTTCCTTCTATAGAACTTCACAAATAAGATATTTTATTTTTATTTTATGGACAAGAAAAGCTTGACAAGCCTCTTCTGGATTTATTTTACTACCCAATTTCCAGCTGCTATCTCAAAGCAATTTACCATCGGAAGGGCACCGGAGCCACCAGCCTATAATTAGTAAAGGCTGTAATATCTAATTTTTATCAGAGGGAAGGGTGTGATTATTGCAGAAGCACTCCTTCTAATAATCTGAGCAGAGACTTCCTACGGTAAGTGGCCAGCCCCAAAGCACCAGACAGTACTGGTTAGCCTGCATGACAGGGACAGAGAGAATCCATTAGATTGTGATTAAAAAGTGGCTTGAAAGTCACTGCGCAGAATCCACCAAAAGCCTTTCCCCACCTCCCCGTTTCAACACTGTTTAGCCACTCTGCCATCATAAAGGCAAACCTCGTTTCTCCACAAGGAGTACTTTTGTGATTGCTTATTTCAGTCATATCCCTCAACCCTGCCTCAGGATTCATTTTAACATTATTTCATGGTTAAAAATACTGGGGGAATGGCAGGAAGGGGAAATTTAAAATGAGAATGCCATTTGATCATCTTATGGTTGGTACTGATTTTAAGGAAAGCCTGTTTGGGAGAAAAGACTCTTCAACTCTTCCTAACTTAACATTTCAGGTTTGTAAAATTCATATTGTAGTCACAAATAATGGCTCAAATCTTTCAAACTACACTTTCCCTCTCATTTAAACAGCTGTTATGTGAGCCAGCATTTCATTGCTCTTCACAAACATGTTGAACTCAAGACAGATGTTATAAGCATAAAAAACTGATGTTTGAACCTACCGACCATCCACAATGGTTGGCCGTTTCTTAAGAACTAGAATTTAGAAGTGACATTGGCATATTATAATAAACACAAAAAGAAATGCTATTAAATTGATGATATTAAAAGAGGCCAAGGACCCTCAATTGGCAATAGGAAAATACATCTGAAAACAAGTCACACTCTTTGCTATGGCTTGAATATTTGTCTCCTCCAAAACTCATGTCAAAATTTAATCCCCAGTATGGCAGTTTTCAGAAGTAGGACCTTTAAGAGCTGACTGGGTCATGAGAGCTCTGCCCTCATGAATGGATCAATTCATTCATAGATTAATGGGTTATCACATGAGTGGGACTGGTGGCTTTACGAGAAGAGGAAGGGGGACCTGAACTAGCACACTCAGCCCTCTCATTATGTGATGTCCTGGGCCACCTGGGGACTCTGCAGAGAGTTTCCACCAGTAAGAAGGCCCCTACAATATATGTCCCCTTGACTTTGAACTTGTGAGCCTCTATAAGAAATAAATTCCTTTTCTTTACAAATTACTCAGTTTTAGGTATTCCGTTATTAGCAACATAAAGTGAACTAAGACACCCTTCTTACTCATTTTATTGCATTCATGTGAGACAATCTGATTAGTGTGTTTTTGTCTCTCTCAGTCTACTCCATGTTAGACAATGGTAGCGTTTTCATTGCATTAAATCTAAGTTATTTATATTACTGGAAATCTTTATGCCCAGGTTTGCAGCACAGTGGTAAGCATGTCTGAAGATTGTAGAAAAATATGAGGCCTTGAATTTGCCCAAATAATAGTGATGGTAGTAGAAGATTGAGAAAATAGGGTAGTCACTTTGGTTTGGGTAACCCAATAGCCATTTCCAACTGTCTTATTTCCATCTCACAGCTGAAAGCTTGCTTTCCTGTACTCTTCTGTAGTGAGGGATGACCATCTGACCCAGTCTTCAGAAATAAGATAGATGTAAAAGTATGCTAAGTGGTTTCTAAAACGGCTTTTGCTTTCCTATTAAAAGGCACAGGCAGGCCTGGCTCTGTCTCCATCCTTCTGTGTGTCTGCCTTGAATACAAGAACAATACCTGGATCTTTGGGTGTCATTTGCATCCATGAGGAAAAAGTCAAGAAAATTACTTGAAGCCTCTACAAACATTCTTGAATTACTAAACCAAAACTCAGCGATCTCTCACCTCCAGATTTTTTGTTACAAAACACAACTGAAATTTAATCCTTATTTGTTTAAGTAATTAGGGTTGGCTTTGCTTTTACTTGGAGCCAAAATTATTTTAACTGGTATGGAGTAGCAAAGCATAATGCCAGAAAGCACCAGAAGTAAGCATTCTTTTCATCATTGGGCATCAGCAAAAGAATATTTATTATAAAGAGTGATATTTATGTTTTTTCTTGACAGAAGTAGTAAATGTGAATTGGCTGAAAGGAAGGAAGACACTGCAGATGGGAGCAGCCATTGGAACAAAAAGACAGAGGAAGGGGCATGACATACGTGTATGGAATATAATAACTAGAATCACTAGACTGAAGCACAGGAATAGACAAGGTTGGCCAGGTAAAGAAGGAGAGCACTGAAAGAGGGGTTCGTGTGTCAGGGGTTTGCATGTCAGTAAACAGGTTTATGTTTTCTGTGATACATCATTTGGATCATTACTGGCTCATCTAGTGAATCAACCATTTATTTGGTTGGAAAGCCAGCTCTGTGGTCATCCCAAGAAAGTAAAAAGAAAAATGCCCGTTCTTGCATTCAAAAAAGTTATAGTTTAATAGAGGCAAATGTATCAGGTTTCAATCTAGGAAACAGAAACCATTCCAGGTACTTCAAGCACAACGAAATATAATACAGGGAAATGGATATTTATAAAACTTCTGGGAGGAATAGAAGGGCCAAAATCAGGGGCTCAACACTGGACAATTGAATTCAGGCAAACGTCATAAAGCTGCAGAGCACAGGGCAGCATCTGCTGATGCTACAGCTTTGTTGTCTCCAGTTACCTATGGGGATGGCTTCCAGATGGTAGAATGCTGAGCCTGGCCATTGCCTCTAAACACTCACATCCCATGTTCTGCATGCTGGCAGCAACGTGTTGAAAAAGAGAGAGAGAGACAGAGAGACAGAGAGAGAAAGAGAGGAAGAAAAGCATCTGACTTCTGATTTCTAGAACATAGTCTAGTTGGTAGAACCCTTTTTCACAACCAGATCCTTGGTTGCTAAAACATCTAAATGTAGTTTCTAGTTTTTCAACCTCTGTAACAAGAGAGATTGAAGAGAAAGTACACAGAGACAGAGGGAATTTCTACTGCATTGATAGACTTTTAAGGCATCAATTAGAGCAATAAGGTCTTAGAGGTTCTCTGAGAGAAGGCTGGTCTCCAAGGAGGGAGGCGGGTTAGGAAAGATCTCAAAGAAGCAATGAAATTTGAACAATGCCTTGAAAGATGAATTTACATTTGCCAGGAAAAAGAATCAGGATTGGCATTCTAGGTAGACTGCCCAGTTTAAAAAAGAAAAAGTATGAAGCTGCCTGGGCATTCAGTAAGTAGCTCATTATGTCTGGAGTGTTTTGTGCAAAGTGGGGCAGGAGAAGAGGAAATGGAAATTTAGATGGAACTTGAAAGGAAGCGGAACTCAGGTCATGGTGAGCCCTGAATGCCATGCAGAACAATTTGAAATGTATCCTGAAATGAGTGGGAAACCAGACCCAAGCCTCCAGCAGTGGAGTACTGTGAATAAATTTAGGACTCATAAGGATCATTCTGGGTGCATGTGGAGACTAGACTGGAGGAGTTCAAGACTAAAAGCAGAAAAGCCAGTTGGAAGAGTGTTGCAATAGAAAATAAGAAACAGAACTCTTGAGCTGGGGAGAATCTTGATATTAAACA